AAATTGCCGAATCTTGACGAAATTTCAATGGATTTCTGAAATTTTAAATGTTTTGCAAAATAAATTTAGTGGGCTTGTGAGTTAAAATTTTCAAACGCATCTTTCGGGAGGAGGAGTCAAGTAAAAAAATATACCCATGAAGTGGTATATTTAGATGATAGATATGTTTATATCACGAAATCCCAACAATATAGGATGTTCTTTGTATTACTTCTGCGTGAAGTCAACGATTTTCATAGTTGAAGATGCTTATTTCAAATAACAGACTAAAGTGGTAATTTTTATACGATAGATAAGGAGATGAAAGTATAGAGTTGATAGTTCCGTTAGAGTACGGCAGTGTGAAAATTGTATATAGAGAGTAGAAAGCGAGCAAGGACAACTTTAGGAAGGTACAAATCGGTTTGATCATCTCTCTTTACCAAACTCACCCGTTGAAAAGGGATGGTGAGGGGTATTCCCCTCCGCCACCACTGGCAAAAAAAAGGTGATCACCGACTCGCTCATGTATCGACGATGTGTTTGAAACAGTTCTATCGATTTTTACCGCACTCAAGTTGTTATCTAAAGGAAGCCATGTTGCTTCCTTGTGCAAAGATGTTAAAGAGTACAAAGCCTTCTAAACTATGGGTAGTGTATGACATAATTTACTCACTAGATGACGCTAGCCCAAAAATGATCAAGATGCGCCATCTTAAATATACATTATACAACGCTCTCTACAGATCTTTCCCATATGGATGGTTTTCGTTTTCAGCAATGATGTTCAGACGGACAAAATTTATCCTAAGATAAAAAGATTAGTTCATAATTCACTCACTAGGCGGTGCTTAAGTGACATTCATTTTCAATTGTTTGTCCTAACTCAACATCTTGACTAGATAGAAGGTTTCCGTCTTCGGCCAAGTTGATCAGATGGACAAGACCTATTTCACGGTAAAGAGTTCACCTCAGAATTTACTCATCAGGTGGCGCTAGTGTGTGTTTTTTTATTGTTTGCCCTTACTTAACTTATGGACTAGATAGAAGGTTCCTATATTGAGCAATGTTGTTAAAATTGACAAGACCTATCCTAAGGAAAAGAGTTAAGTTCAGAATTTAGTCATCAAGTGTTGCTAGTGTGACATTAATTTTGAATTGTTTAAATCTTAGCTTTTCCTTTAATTTCTCAGATCCTTTGCAAATTCCCTGCAATTGATGTGAAGTTAATGGGACTTCACTGAACATCTCTAATCTTGCGTAAAGTTAACTGAAATCTTAAAATAAATAAATAATTTCCAAATTATGGCACTTCGAAAATTTGCAATATCTTGAAATTGAACTTGAAATACTAAACATCAAGACATTGAATGTTTTGAGATCCTTGATTTACTAAAATTAAGTAAATGTTAAACCTCAACATTTAATGGTTGTAAATCTGTCATGTCTTAAGAACGATTACACTAATTGCCGCTGTTGTACCAAAAATATTGTATTTCTAGCGCATTTTAAAAATAGCTTTTCAGGTAATTTTATTTGGCCAAATCAGTATTCATTCATAGAATTTGTTCCAGAAAAAGTTTTAATCAATTCATTCATAAAGCTTGATTGTAAAGCACCCACAACCAGAGCACTGGTTAACTGCTATTCCAGTATCCAAAAAAAGTGGCTTTTACTCCCCAGATTCTTGACATGGGCTCATGTAGAACCAATTGGACAAGCCGAATTCAATTAGTAGTAAAATTCCACCAAATTTTCCCCGGAAATTATCTGGACCTTTCATATTTGAAAATTGCGTTTTGAATTTTTCATAGCTATATGTATGGGAGCAGTGGCATAGACTTTCTGGCTTCCGATCACGCTTCCTTCACCGGAAACCGTATCACTTATCCCCATTAACCGTGTCGCAATCAACCAAAAGTGACAAATGAATTTTTAATCACGTAAATTTGTGCAAAGGACACATGCCACACATACGCTCCCAAAGGAAGCCCTGACTGGTTCAATTCACCACCGACCGGCACCAAGTGACACTGACGCTGCTCTATGTAGCAATTGGACGATCGATAAAAAAGCAATTTCACTGTCATTCCAGTCGCACGGTCTGATCGTTGACTTTGAAGTCATGTGCACCCAACCGGGAAATGTAAGATTCTATTACAGATTTGCCTGAAAAGTGTGTCGATTTTGCAATGCGGTCGGCGGAAGGAGAACTTTTTAAATAATTTTGTTGTTTTTATGTAAGCTAAATTTTTGAACTAAGTTTGTTGTTGTTTGTTGTACGCTACAGCCCAACATTAAATTTTCTGTAAGAAAATATGCACAGGATTTGTTTTGCGTGTGCCTTAAACTCGGCGACCATATTGATTTTTACTCTTTCAGCATAATCAAAACGTACTGCATGCGAGCAGATGGATGGAATCGAACCGGATGGAAAGCTTGGTCGAATTATCTATCGTGCGCCATAAATTGGAATTCCATCGAAGCAGCACACAGTCGCCATGCTTCGACGTCCCACGACCAATTATTTGGCAAAATCCGAAATCAAGAGTTACTCTCCCATTGTATTCTACTGCAACCCGGTGTGTACCCTGATAGAGAGCGATAGCGCAGCAATAAATTTGCGCGCAGATGCAGAAGAACAAACACTCCGAGCTAAACCAAATGTACCACTACCAGGGAGGCTAGGTTGAACGGTTGAATGGCTGAACGCTGAGCCACCATTTCAGACTATATGCCAACTTTCTGCATCAGTGAGCTTTGGCGTTCATAAAAATCCGAACCGAATATGTATATTTGTATTCAATCAAATTGTTTGTTTTCCCCGGGAACGAACTTGCACCCCGAACGAGGCTGTAAGGGAACGGAGAGCAAGCAAGATAGTATCAAACGTTAATCCCTAGTTTTATTTTATAGCCAAATTGATCCAATTTTATCGATGCAATCCATTCTCTCGAATATTTGATGCAGGGTTGGGAAAAGCAAATCTGCACAATTGCGCTTTTCAAACCCGATGAAAGTGTATTTTCCATTTGGAAATGTGACCACATTTAAGTTCTACCATTACCTTAACACTATAGAGTTGAATTATCACAATATGGGGCACGTTTTTGCTCACAAAGTAGAAAATCATAGGGTTCATCCCCAAGCTCCTCTGTCATTAGAAAAGAGTTGAACAATCAAACCAGTTACCGAAGGTTTTTTTTATAGAAAGAGCTCGGTGGCCCTTATGGTGACCGTTTTTGCTTACTACCAAGCGACCAACGATCACAATACTTACCATGGTGAATCCAGAACTTATTAACCCTTCCTACTAACCGCGGCATCTGTGGAGATGCAGAGTAGAGATGGAACCCGAATTATTTTTAGCCGAAGCCGAAGTTCCAGATGATAAATTGGTCAAACTGCTCAACATCAAAGCCTTCAATTCGGTCAACTCCAAGGTCACGATCTGCATGAAAATTTAATATTGTACATAAAATTACTTGCCAAAAAATATCTACTTACTGGAAAAATTTAATGTTTCAGACCCAAGTAACAATTCAGTTGCTATTTGGCATCCACTCTGATTTATAATGGTTTTATAACGGCAATGAACAATCCATTTAGTTTAAATGCAGCATTTCAAAGTGTAAAACATTCCTGCTTAGTAATTCAGCTTATTGCAGTTTTAAAAACCTTCTATAGTCTGTCGAGGATGTCTTGTTTTAAAAATAAATTTAAAGCAACTCTCAATCCCTCCATAAAACTGCTCTATTAATCAATCATAAACTTCATTAGCAATTGTTTATTAATGCCTTGATAAAATACTCTATAAAGTTGCTCTCTCGTTATAAAAGCAACCATAAAACCATTTGTTTTTAAATGAGAGCAAAAAGCATAGATTGTCATTGTTTAGACTTGTTAAAGTGTGTCATAAATCCCCAATTACTCTGTTTACAAATTGAACTTAAAAGTTGGATCCTCATAGTGAATAAAAGCAAAATTTATGACACGGAAATCTCGAAGGGTACACGAAGTAGGATGAAACATTCAAGCGATGTTAAACCCTACCTTGACCTTGACCCTTGACCCTTGACTTCCAGGAACCGCCCGAAGGCATTCGGGAGAGGCCTATGCGCTATAGCGCTCCTCTAACCGTACTCTAACGCTCTAGTCGGGCAGTAGTCAACTGCTGCTCGGCACGCCACACTCGTTGTAGCTCTGAAACTATGTGGGTGACCGCAGTCACCACAGCGCTCCAGTTCTCGGTAGCACCACACATCCTAGGGACGATGTTATCCGGACTGGTGTCCGCTCCGCATATCGCTAGCATAACACTCCTTACTGGCTCGAAGCGTGGACAGGCGAACATAACATATTCCGCCGTCTCTTCGACACCAACGCACACGGGGCAGGTGGGAGTACTTGCATGTCCGAACCTATGCAAGTAACTCCTAAAGCAGCCATGGCCTGACAGGAACTGTGTCAGGTGGAAGTTTACTTCCCCATGGCGTCTATTGACCCAGCTTGATACGGAATGTATCAAGCAGTAGGTCCACCTCCCATTTGTGGAATTTTCCCCTCGAACGCTTCTCGTGTCATAGCACTCCCCATCCTCCTTAATGATGAGGCCGATTGGCATCATCCCTGCTATGACACAGACGGCCTCCCTCGAGATGGGGCGATATGCACTGGCCATCCTCAAGCACATTAACCTATGTGTGCTCTCTAGTTTCCGCCTGTGGCAGTCGGTATCCAATACTGCAGCCCACGCAGGGCCTTCGTTTCTGAGGATAGATACTACTTGCTGGCACTCACCGCCGAGCTGTTGGACATCATGCGGGATAATGCGGGCTATCTCTCCCCAGCACGCGCTGTTGAACGCGTTCTTCACGTCTAAAGCTACCATCGCGCAGTAACAAATGCCCCTTCGTTTCCCATGAACCACCTCTGCCATCTGAATGACGTCACGTGTGGCGTCCACCGTACTGGCGTACTGGCCTTCAGTGTAGGCCGACAGCCTGTTAAGGATGACCCTCTCAAGCAGTTTGCCAGTTGTGTCCAGCAAACAGATGGGCCTGTATGCTGACGGGTCCCCAGGGGGTTTCCTTGGCTTCGGGAGAAGCACCAGCCTCTGCCGCTTCCACGCATCTGGGAAGATGCCTTCCCAGACAGGTCTGAAATACAGACCTGAACATGTCTGAATTTTCTGCAACGGCCGCCCTCAGAGCCACAACCGGGATCCCATCCTGGCCTGGGGCCTTGTCCACCACCAGCGACTTGGCAATGCCAATCAGTTCACTGTTTGTCACTCTAGACACTTCTTTTTGTTCCGCGACTGAGATACCCCGCGGCCAGGAGTCAACGTCCCTACGTGGAAACAAGAACTCAACGATCGACGCCAGCATCGCCGGAGATCTCTCCGGAGGTGCCGCCACGCCACTGGTCTTGGCCATGACCACTTTGTAGGCATCCCCCCAGGCGTTCATGTTAGCGCTTTGGCATAAGCTGTCGTAGCACGCGCGCTTGCGTCTGGCGATCTCTTTGTTGAGGGCCGCCTTAGCCGCTCGGCGTTCCTCGCGAGTTTTGGCCGTACGAGCCCGTTGCATCCTCCTTCTTGCCTGGAGACAAGACGCCCTGAGGATATCAATCGACTCGCTCCACCAGTACACCGGTATATGGTCATGCCTGGGATAGGCTCTCCTAGGCATGGTTGTATCGCACGCCCTTGTCAGCGATGCTACCAGTTCTTCCCCCGTCAGATCCGGGGTTATTCGCTCCCACCTCAGTGCTTCGCTCAAGACGTCTTTATCGAAGAACGACGTGCGCCAGCGTCGAGCGCTGGAGGGACTCCCTCCTGCTACTCACCTCTCACCTTGCCCCACACTGTAGCGAATCGCCTGATGGTCGCTGTCGATGTAACCCTCATCGACCCTCCAGTGTAGATTTCCCTCCAAACACGGACTGCAGTACGTCACATCAATGACGGATTCTGCACCGTTCCTTCTGTAGGTACTGACCGAACCGGTGTTGGCTAGTACAACGTCCAGTTTGGCCATTGCCTCCAGTAGGATGCGTCCTCTCTGGTTGATGTGGTGGCTGGCCCACTCCACCGCCCATGCGTTTAAGTCGCCCGCAATGACCACCGGTCTTAGGCCGCCAAGTACCGCTGTGAGTCTGTCCACCATCTGCGAGGACTGCTCGATGGACCTCCTGGGCGGAGCATAACAGCTATTCAGATATACTCCATTGACCCTGGCGATCACAAACTCCTCGCTGCCATCCCCAACGCGTCCGTGACCCAATTCTCGTTGCCGGATGGGACACGGTACGGGTCGGAGATGATTGCGACATCCACTACTCATTCCACTGCCGATTGCCACAGCAGTTGCTGGGCAGCCGCGCAGTGGTTCAGGATCAACTGCACTACCTCGAACATGGCTGAGCATTGCTCTTGGCCCCCGGGCAGCGCGGGCCACCTGCCATGTGGTTGGTAGGGGATTTCCCTTTCCCCACGCATATTGCGTGCAACCTTGTGCCCTCCGAGCCGCACCGTCTGTATAGCTTGCTTCTATCGGTGTTCTTGCAGTCACGAGCCTAACCGAAGCACCTGAAGCAAGCCGTAGCCGGTCGGGGAATGCTCACGGGGCAAACCGACCAGTCCCACTCGCATCTTCCCTGTGGCTGCCGCCTTTCTGGCATCAGCTGCCGCTCAGCTGCTGTTCTCCACCTGAGTGGAGAACAATCCCTTCCTCAGGGTAGTCGCCTCTGTCACCTCGTCCAAGTCTTTAATCTGGATGGTGATTGTGGAGCCTAGCGACTTCACCTGCACCCCATTACCAACGACCTTCTCTGCCAGCTTCTGGTAAGCTGGTGCCTGGTCTTTGGCACCACGCTTTAGCACCAGGAGCATCTCGCCAGTACGAGTGCGCCTGAAGCTCCTCACGTTGCTGCCCATGTCAGCAAGACGCTCGTCCGTTCTCATCTTCCTCAAAACTTCCGCGTACTTCGACGCTTCCGTCTTGATGATGAGAGCCTCACTCTTCGTCTTGTTCAGGGCAGTGCTGCTCTTCGGGGCAGTTTTTTTTTTTTTTTTTTTTGAGCTTTCGGGGGAGCGTCCTTGTTTCCATCCTGCTTGGAACGGCCACTTTTCTCAATAGCGCTGTTTCCTACTTCAGACTTCTTCTGTGACTCGTCCACTGCTGCATTGGACTGATCAACCACTGCCACGCACTCTACCAGGGCAGAGACTTTTTGTCTCTTAGGGTGTGCCGCACGCTTTACAGGCGAGGGCCGGTCGCGCTTCTGCCCATGCGTCACGGCAAAGCGGAGGGCCTCGCTGGCCATCGTGCTATTGCCTGCGAAGGTGAAGGCGTCCGTCTGGGTAGACTTCGGCTCCTTCTTCTCCGCCCTCTCGGCGACTTCTAATCGCTTCTTAAGCTGCTCATGGTCGTCCTTGGCCTCGTTCACTGTTGCACGGAGCTGCCTCAAGGCCTGCTTGAGGTCCTTCGCAATAGTGCTCCGCGTACTCGTGAACTCATCATCATCATGAGGGCAACAAGCGGTCCCGCGATAGCCAGCATCCACTCATGACTTTTTTAACCTGGGCCCATCCATGGGTTGCCCCTCCGGCTGTCCACCGGTCCCATCGCTTAAGTCCCCGTCTTGCAGAGGTTTTGGCCGCTTGGAGTCCTTGTTCGGATCACTGGGTGGGGGAGATCTCGTAAGACCACCCCTCGCGAATGGGTTCCCGGTCGCCTCCTTGGCGACTTGATCACTGGGTTGATTATTGGAATGACTCTGATGGTTTTCCATCATCTTGACTATTGGGTCCCTCTTAGACCGCTATCCTAACCGTGCAACTGGAATAGTCGCTGTTTGATCCCCATGGGTACCTATGCAAGCAGTGAGGTCCATGGCGAGGGTTGACATAGGCCTTCATGGGGCGCTATGTTCAGAGCCGGATCGCGTAAGACGGGAATAGCTCAACCGAGCCTATTTCCACCGCAGTTTCCCAACTGGATGGCACGGTAGGAACGTATTCTAAGGCCTGCCAGGGTTTTATGGGATGGAGACGGACAAGGCATTAGCTCAAACGTCGTTTCGGCCGGTTCCACCCGACGGTACTAAGAGAATGAAATACCTTGGCCGCCAGCCCGTAGCATAGTTTATATAAACGGGCTTCTGCTAGACTTAGTCCTACATTAGGGCCAGTGTGTCAGTACACATACTTGCGATCTCTGGACAACTTCGAGATTAAGGCGTAATTGCTTTTGTAATCAAACACGTCAATCACCGATTTCTCGCGAATTAAAGTTCGATCTCTAAAACTAACAACACAAACAGGTAGAGGAATGACTACTCTTTCATTTTTAAAAGTTTGTTTGCGAGATTGAGCTTTTATTCGCGAGCAATCAGCGATTGATATGTTTATTTGCAAAAGCAATTACGCCCAAATCTCAAACTTCTCCGGATCTTACTGACATCGATTGCAAGACGCCGTCTGGCGCATCCTCTCGCTCTCTATCAATCGTTTACTCTCGATCGTTTGTTGTTCGTTTAGCCGACTGGGTCAGTACCGCAGCACTGATGGTCCCACGTTTCCCGGGTGCACCACGAGGAGGCGAACAACTCCACATCTCCTATATTAAACAGTCTTAAATCAGACCAGCCTTCTTCGGATCGGACTAACACTTGCATTTTTACCGACAGCAAATCCCTGAAACTGTCAGCAAGCGAAAGTGTCAAAATTTCATTCAAGCTTACTTAATTTTAACTGCATCTTCGGGATGCCATCTGGGAACTTTTACGGAAACGATTGAGCTTCCAGCTGTTCCATTATATATGCGAAATATTGCAAAACAGTACCCCACACTTCCTGAGTAACTGTCTCCAATCCAGCGGGAGAAAATCGCCTGGAAGAACGCTGGAGTAAAACCTCGTTGCAAGGATCGTAAAACGCAACTATCGAAAGATAAACAAACTTTGACGTTTAACTTCTTGCAGGCAACTTTGCCTCCATAAATGCTGCTATAAATCCGAACGGGTTAAGATCAAGCAAAATGGCTTTAGATAAATGCAATTCAGTCAGCAAGTTTTTTTTTTTTCATAAAAGCCGTTTTAAAACTTTATGAATTTGTAAGGGAAAAAAAACTCTGTAGAAAATTACCTAGTTGACCGACCCTTTTCAAGCTTTCAGACACTATAACCGTACGCTCGCACCTTAAGCTTAACTCCACTCATTAGCTTCTGTACAACATCTGGGTGCAGCTGCTTCTGTACGGAAGCCCATTTTTTCTACATGTCTTCCTTAGATTTGACCTCCTTGGGATGCTTTCGTAGTGCCTGCTTCATAATAGCCCAGTATTTTTCGATGGGCCTTAGTTCCGGTGCGTTGGAGGGGAGGTTCATGTCCTTGGGTACGAAAGTGACCTCGTTTTCTTCGTACCACTCCAGGACAACATTTGAATAGTGGCATGAAGCTAGATCCGGCCAGAAGATCCTAGGGCCCTCGTGTTGCTTCAACAGACACTCCTTGAGGTAGATCTCTCCGTTTACAGTCCCGGTCACCAACGGCGCACTCCGTTTGCCACATGAGCAGATCGCTTGACAAATCATGTATTTATTGGCAAACTTTAAAAGTTTATGCCTCCTTACTTCCTCCGGAACATCAAACAAGTGCTGGGCGGTGAAGAACAGTAGCTCCGGAAGCTGCCGGAAGTCCGCCTTGACGTAAGTCTCATCATCCATGATGAGACAATGAGGCTTCGTCAGCATATGGGTGTACAGTTTCTGGGGCCGTAACTTTCCCACCGTATTTTGCCGTTCGTCACGATTTGGTGCCTTCTGCACTTTGTAGGTAAGCAATCTCTCCCGGTCCTTGGCTCTCTGAACGAAAGACTTGGACAGATTCAACTTTTTGGCCACATCCCTGACCGAAGCATTGGGATTCCGCTTAAACACTTTCACGACACGCTTGTGATCCTGATCACTAATCGAACATCCATAATGATCGCATTTCTCCTTCCGTTTGATGCTCAGCATGTCTCCTTCCGTTCGATTCTCAGAGTTTCGTAGTAACGTTTAATCACACCACTCACCGTTGACAGCACGATTCCGAGTTGTTTTCCGATGTCCCGATAAGAGAGTTGAGGATTTTCCAGGTCCTTGCGCAAAATCAATTCGCGACGTTGCTTTTCGGGTGACGCCATTTTTTCCAACTTTCGAAAAACTGACAGCGATAAAAATACAGTGTAAACAATACACTCTAAACCAGGCTTCAAAATTATCCGGATAGGCATGGATAATATAATTATCCGGATAGACCTATCCAGTGGATAGAAATAAACGGAGTCTATCCCTATCCACATTTCTTTCCCTCCGGATAATATCCAAGTTAAAATTATCCGGATAATTTTAACTTGGATATTATCCATTATTTTTCCCTCCGGATAGTATCCGGAGTACTCCGAGCAGTTTATGTTTAGAATAGGGATGTTTGATATCATATATGAACTCCTAAAAATGGGTATTTTTAGAACCGGGATGATGTCCAGAGGCCGGAAATCGATATCTAACGCCATTTTGAAATCCAAAATGGCGGCTTCCGGTTTCATAAAAGTGGGAAATACTGTCAAATACCCATCAATATGGGTATTTTTGGAATCGGGGTGATGTCCAGAGGCCGAAAATTGATATCCAACGCCATTTTGAAATCCAATATGGCGGCTTCCGGTTTGATAGAAGGTGGAAAATACTGCCAAATACCCATCAATATGGATGTTTTAGGAGTAGGGGTGATGTCCAGAGGCCGGAAATCGATATCTGACGCCATTTTGAAATCCAAGATGGCGGCTTCCGGTTTCATAAAAGTGGGAAATACTGTCAAATACCCAGCAATATGGGTATTTTTGGAATCGGGGTGATGTCCAGAGGCAGAAAATTGATATCCGACGACATTTTGAAATCCAATATGGCGGCTTCCGGTTTGATAGAAGGTGGAAAATACTGTCAAATACCCATCAATATGGGTATTTTTAGAACCGGGATGATGTCCAGAGGCCGAAAATCGATATCTAACGCCATTTTGAAATCCAAGATGGCGGCTTCCGGTTTCATAAAAGTGGGAAATACTGTCAAATACCCATCAATATGGGTATTTTTGGAATCGGGGTGATGTCCAGAGGCCAGAAATTGATATCCAACGCCATTTTGAAATCCAAAATGGCGGCTTCCGGTTTGATAGATAATTAAAAATACTGTCAATACCCATCAATATGGACATTTTAGGAATCGTGGTGATGTCCAAAGGTCGTTAAATGATATCCTATGCCGTTTTGGAATCCAAGATGGTGGTCATTGGGTTCAAAATAAGTGGCCAATTCCCTTAAATATTGGTTATTTTGGAACGAGCATAACGTATAGCTGCAGAAAGCTGATGTCCCATGTCATTTTGGAATCCAATATGGTGACTATATCGTATAATATTTTACAAATTTTATAAAACAGGTGGCCACTATATTGCATTTCAAAATGGCGTTGGAAATCGATTTTAGGTCTTCATGCGTTACCCGCTTACCACTAAAACCCATATTTTAAGGTATTTCACTGGTTTTTAAAACCAATGGCCACCATCTTAGATTCCAGTTGGGTGTCGGACAGCGATTTTCAGCCTCAACACGTCGTCTTCTATCCGAAAGTACCCATATTGTAGGATATTTGACACTCTTTTTGAAACTAATGGCTTTCTTGGATTCCAAAATGGTGTAGGACATCGATTTTCGGCTTTTACCGGCCGTCCCCGTTCTGAAAGTAGCCATATTGTAGAGTATTTGACACTTATTTTGAACCCATTGGCCACTGTATTGGATTCCAAAATGGCGTCGGACATTAATTTTAGGCATCTACACGTCGTCCCCGTTCCAAAAATACCCATATTGTAAGGTATATGACACTTCTTCTGAAACCGAAAGCCACCATATTAGATTTCAAGATGAGATCGGACATCGATTTCCGGCATCTACATATCACCCCGATTATAAAAGTACCCATATTGTGAGGTATTTGACACTTTTTCTTAATCCGAATGCCGCCATGTTGGATTTCAAAATGGCATCGGGTATCGATCTCCGGCATCTACACGTCATCCCTGTTCTGAAAATACCCATATTATTAAGTATTGCAAACTTTTTGAACCCAATGGCCGGCATCTTGCATTCCAAAATGGTGTCGAACATCATTTTTCGGCATCTACCAGTCATCCCCGCTCCAAAAATACCCATATTGTGGAGTATTTGACACTTTCTGAACATAATGACCACCTACTTGGATTTCAAAATGGCGTTGGACATCGCCTCTACACATCTTCCTTGTTCCAAAAATATCCATATTGCAGGACATTTTGCAGGTTCTAAAAAACCGATGACTAAAATGGCATCGGTCTTCCATACATTTGACAGATAACATTTGTCAAATTGAACGCAAAGTATCAAAATCCACACAGATTCGCAAATCGTTTCGGATCGATGTTTTTAGAATTAGGGCGCTACTTCGTCGTAATTGCCCATTTAAAATTTTTGGTTCCCTAGTTTTGTACACGACTAACACTTGAAAAGGGATTATGCAAAAATGATACGCATCAATAGAAAAACATATATCTCACGAACGATTTGTTGGATTGAGATGGTGGCGCTGGCACTGTAAAAAATTATTTTTATTTTTTACAAAAAAAAACAAAATTATCAAACAAAATTAAAGTTACTCAAATCGCATATTTTTTTAAAAGTATTTTTATATATTTATATTGTAGTTTAAATATATTTGAAATAGTGTTAATATTAAAACACATTAAATTTTCAACAAAAAGGCTTATCATGCTTAAATTCCCCAAAGAGGTTAAATTTCACTAATCGCATAATTTGAGCAATTTTCACCCTTTTGAGATGGTATTCGTGAGTGTCCAATCTAGCAAATATTTTTAAAGAAAAGTCCAATTAATTTCCTTAAATTTTGCAGTTCACACTACTTTTTCAAACAGACTTATCTGATGTAATCAAGGGCCTGGCAGGTCGTATCAGTATTGTAGTCAGCATAAAAAGTATAACATGGCTGGTTTCCATGGTAACACATGCGCATGCATACGTTGACAGCCTGGGCCTACAGTCTGGGCCCGCGCTTATGTTGACTACTACCAGTTGTTGCTTGTAGAGATAGGGGTGTCAGTCCCGTGGATGTAATACGTTCGTACGAATGTCGTCGGATATAAATTTTCGGCCTCTGGACATCACCACGATTCCAAAAATACCCATATTGATGGGTATTTGACAGTACTTCCCACTTTTATGAAACCGGAAGCCGCCATCTTGGATTTCAAAATGGCGTTAAATATCGATTTCCGGCCTCTGGACATCGTCCCGGTTCTAAAAATACCCATATTGATGGGTATTTGACAGTATTTCCACCTTCTATCAAACCGGAAGCCGCCATATTGGATTTCAAAATGTCGTCGGATATAAATTTTTGGCCTCTGGACATCACCCCGATTCCAAAAATACCCATATTGATGGGTATTTGACAGTATTTCCCACTTATATGAAACCGGAAGCCGCCATCTTGGATTTCAAAATGGCGTTAGATATCGATTTCCGGCCTCTGGACAACATCATGGTTCTAAAAATACCCATTTTTAGGAGTTCATATTTGATATCAAACATCCCTATTCTAAAGATAAACTGTTCGGAGTACTCCGGATACTATCCGGAGGGAAAAATAATGGATATTATCCCTATCCACTTTTTCTTTCCTCCGGATAATTTTAAAACTTTTCTATCCGGATAATTTTAACTTAGATATTATCCGTTTTAAAATTATCCGGATAGGGATAGGGATAATATCAAATGATAGATTGGATAATGGATAATGGATAGGGATAATTTTGATGCCTGCTCTAAACTACTTCTACCCAAATTTTCAAGAGAAAATACCCAATGGGTAATTTTCTACAGCGTTTTTTTTTCCGTGATGCAATTTGATGTGGAACACCCTTTAGGGGAGTCCGTAGAACTTTAGAGAAGATTTTTAATTATTCACAGGGAAGAGCTTTCAAGAAGTTCCAAGATTTATGAAGCAGGAGGAACTTGGATCGTAAGAGAAGTTCCGAGAACTTTTTGAAAATTTATGTAATTTCAGGTAAGTTTTTAAGAGATTTCAAAGGATGATCCATGAGCTTCAAGAAAGTATCGAAAATTTCAGAAAAGTTCGGATTGTACTCTGGCCTTTTGGGGTGACGCTCATATGGGTAAAACTCTAATGCAATTTCATCAGAAAAGTCAGAACACTTGACACCACCCAGTCCAAAATGAAATACTAAAATGTAAACAGCTGTCTACCATACTAAGTTCCCTCTCCCCCTTAATATTGTGAACATTCCCCAATCTCCACTTTCCTAATGATCCTTGGGATGGCATGACAAGTGCGAAACGTGACAGGCAACATAATAATGCATTGGGGGAGTCCAATATCGGTTCGTTGGCCACTTCCGGAGTAATCCTTTAAGTTGTTCATTTTGTCTCTGGTGAAGCTAAAGGTAGTGGCGGTAGTGAGAATTTGTCCTTAACATCAACCTGTTTCCTTCGTCGTCGTCGTCGTCGTCGTCGCAGTGCAGTTAATAAATTCCTTAGGCGTACGATTTATTGGCCCTGGCAGCAGGTGTAAATAATTATTTTGGGATCCGGTTCGGAATCCGGTTCTACTCCAAAGCTTCTAATCGTAAGACCTGTGCTGCTTCGTGAGGGGAGGGGCTAGGACGGAAGCGAACGTGTGTATGTGAGGGTTGGTGTCGGAAATTTATGAAGGTCGTGGGGTGTTACTACGTGTTGGATGCAGCTTTGGATTATTGGGAACGATGGTGTCCGCAGCTAATGAGTATTTTATTCCCCACCAGGCAGCGGTTGCCCATCCTTAGTAAATTATGACTAATGTTAGGGGAGGCTCATTTCCCTTCGTAATATATGATTTTTTGTTATAGGTGTATAATGCACGTCATTACCAGCCTGGACTATGTCGTTAATGGATGGCTTTTCCCTTTTCTCTTTGTTTCAGGACCACGATATGGGAGCCCCATTACTGCCGGCGTTTTAACGGTCAATTAGATAGAGTGTGAGACAGCTGTCGGGTTAATCCTAGCTATACCTGAAGTGGAAGCAAACGTCAATTGGTCGATTTTTGCCTATCATGGTGAGTCACATTATATCGTTATTACTACATACTCGGAAGGATTGGAACAAAACCACGGTCTTTTACGTTCATACCATTACAACAAGTATTATCTTCTATCGAGAGTCAAGTACTGGCGATATAGCAAAAGTAACGACAAGCCACCATTACATAGTCACAAAGTAAGTGTACTCGGGCTCGTGTTTTCATGAATAATAATGGCAATATTTTCCTCCAACTCACGCCGCTTACGCTGCCGGGTGAGACGTCCTTCCATCTGCCCAACCGAGGCGAATGAAACTCTATTCCCTGGTGGGACATCCTTCGAGCTCAAAGGGACAGACAATGGAAGGCGTGTTATAAAGTTACTGAGCTTGGCCCACTTTGCTTATCATATTTCACGCTTCCCGGCCGACGACGACGACGACGACGACGACGACGACGTGGCAAGGATTTCATCCTTCTTTCATCTCTGCTAACTTTTTATCACGTATGACTATCTTCTCATGCATATGATTATTTTCTCACTCTGGTGCTTAAGCTAAGCCTTTTTCTTCTTCACATTCTCACTGCGAAGGAAGAAAGTGCTGCGGCATGATCCCGTCGGGGAATGATGATTTAATGCCAGAGGGAACAGTTAAGTTCAAAGGCCGATCCTAAAATGGTGTAAAGTTGCCGGCTTCTCAGTGCTATCGAGCGGAAGAACCGGAGTTCAACGGTCGTGAACAATGTCCTAACAAAACATTCCCGGCGCATATCTGGCAGGCACTTTTTGTTCCTTCAAAAGTAAAACATATCCAATGTTTCAAAAGTTTGCGCTCCCTGTCAAGTGGATGACAGGGGTTGAATCAATCTTTAGGTGAAACAAAATGTCACGACGAAGGTACACGTTATGTGTTCACAATTCTCTACCTCTGAGCTAAGATAAATTTCTAGTATCGGGACTTTGTACTGAATTTGAAAACATCGATTCTTCAGAGTCTTGATTACACTACCTACACATACAATCCCTGACCCCACACAACAGAAATTCCCCAACATGCAGCCATCAATTTTCCACCCCCTTTGGCACTTTTTCCTATCTGCTGATGATACAGAACCAATATCCCATGGAACAAATGTTTCCGTTCGAATTGGTACCAACACAACAACACATCCCAGCCGGGCAGATAATTCCAGCGATTCTCGGGAAGAGAAAAGAATTCTCAATTTTCCAGAAGAAAAGGTCATGTTTTGGTTGCCCAACTGCAAATTGGATCCTGTTCTTCGTCGGAAAATTTGCTGCATTGTTTGCACTAACACATCCACAACACACACACACACTAAAAAAGAAACCTTGCCCCGTTCATTCGTCGCTTCCGTTCGGTCCTTATGCGGTGCCAGTAATTCAGCCAATCAAGCTTTTCCGTTTTGGAACCTACTAGTGCTAGACTACTGGAAGGCAGAAAAGATCAAAAGGTAACCATCGACCAGGACCAGAACGACGACGATGAGGACCCAATCAACCGTGGAATGACCGACAGGGAAAGCTGGGAATTAATCATGCGGAACAGTACTTCCATTCGGGTTGACTTTTTCCAGTCGCTAACCGTCGGAACAACCAGCCACTATTAGCACAAGATACTCGAAACAACGCAATGGGAAACATTGGACCAGGGAGAACAACATCGAAACGATTTCTTGGGCATCGGGTTTTTCCCATGAAATAAAGATTGCGGTTTCGGGTGATTTGTCGTCTGTGTTTCGGACTGCGGGGGCAGACGTGTGGGTGAGTTGAGTTGACTGGTATTAAGTCGAACCCAGCTGCAGATGTATGAAAGGGTTGTAATCTGCCGATACTGGGTGTAGATTAGGGTGGGTCAACTTTACAAGCCCCTGCTCCCCACAGCTCTTTCGATTCGTATTGAGGTCCACTAAAACTGTGCCAAATTTGAACGAATTTGATTACGATATGGATTCACGTTTGTATGGGTAACGGTCCATTACTGCTCAATTGATTGGCAACAATTCAAAAATTCGTAAATTGTTATCAAACCTGAGACTCACATCAAGAAAACTATAAAGAACAACTTCGTAGATGACCGCAAATCCATTCGACTTCTGTATAAAAAGTTTTTCTTTTTATTATGGCCATGTGCTTCACGCGTACCTACTGTCGTGCATATAAGCTTGTTGGTATCCGCGGTGCACTAGGCCGACAGTGAAAAAAAAATTTGCGTGGATTTGCGGCGGTCTTTGACGAAGTTGTTCTGCATAGTTTTCTAAATCTAAGTCCCTGCTTTGGTGAAAATTTGGCATTCTTTTAAAATTTGGCAAACCAATGATTAGTTCTGTTCTGTTTTCCATACATTTTCCCATACAAACTATAAACTTCTCCCGCAAATCCAGATTGTAACCGAATTCGTCCAAATTTGGCACAGTTGCTAGGGACCTCAATACGAATCGAAAGAGCTGTGGGGGTTTGTGATCTGCCATGCCTTACTGTAGATGTTTGAACTCTGGCGAGAGGGCAAACATCTTGCTACTGCTGGGCTATTTACGATTCTGTAGCGAGCATTTTGCTGGTTTTCAACTTAGTTTTCAAGGAAACCATACGACCCTGACTGGACTGTAGACTGATGCAAAATTTGAAATTTGCATTTCACAAAGCTATTAATTCGGAGCTTTCTATGCCAACCAATATATGCAATTGAACATTGTGTGGCAAGCGTAATGAAATTCTATGCTTAGGGAAGTCGCGAAAATTTTCAACTCGATCGATTTCCTCAACCGGACCGGGAATCAAACTCGCCGTCTCCGGCTTGGTAATTCCATGGCATTATTGACTTTATACATCCAACCGAAGGAAGTAAGATTTGCTCACAATTATGAGGGATATACCGAGCTGCGGTCCAATGCAAGAAAATGAAAAAAGAAAAATGTGAGTGAAATGAATCATGCCGAAAAAAAATAGAAAAAAAGGATGCCGACTGGACTCGAGACACGAACGTTGCGATTATCAACATTGTACTCTCTCCATGCTTCGGAATATGAAAAGACAAAAAGCGAATAAGAAGCACTCATTTCCTCTCATACTCGATTTCGTATGCTTTTTCTGCTTAACGTTTAGTTTTTCATTTTCCAAAACATGTGCCTTCGTTTTACAGTTTTTTTTTTTTTTTTTATTTCACTTGCCTCACGATTTTTATCTAGATTTCAATGCTTGTAATTATAGGTTCTTGAAATATTTAAAAAATCAATTAATCAACCCGGTTGAGACTCTCCTAAGGGCGAGTTCATTAAATTTCCTAGAAAGGACTTACGGATCAGGCAAGGCGGCTTTCAACTAACCGTCCAAACGGGAAAACCCAATTATCTCCGTAAAATCACAAGCACGATAATCACTCAGAGAGTCGGGGAGAGCTCATCCAAACCAAAAAGACCTCTACGAAAGAGAATTTATCCTCATCGGCAGTCTCGTCACTTGCCACTAGACGTCGCCCCGATCGGGAGGTGGACTACTCTCCCCAACATTCAAACTCTCAACAAGAGGACGGGACCCGAAAACTACGACGGAGAACGCAAAGTGATGTCAAATGCATTCAATCAACTAAACCTAGGGAGATGGTTCGTTTAAGAAAACATTTATTGCTACGAACTATTCAGACGGTATATTGAGGGAATAACGGGTATTTCAACATTACTTAACCTACGTAGATTTATTTACATGATATCTTTATCGATTTTTATTTACTTGTGTGTGTTCGTTCCTCTCTCCTATGTGTGTGTGATTTCTCTCTCGCTACTAAAGTCAAAGACCTCATATCAAGATGACTGGCAGGTTTGCCAGAATTCATGCGACAGATACAATAGCACTGCGCTTGAGTGAAGGTGGAAGCAACGCATAGAAAAATGAGCAAATGCACAAACCTTTCCTCTGAGGATGTAATCTTTGCTATTGAATTCGTTTGAGCGGCAGATGACGCGATTGTACCTGTCTCCTAGCGTTAATAAGAGAAAATGGAAGAGTTGCCAGTCTTCTTGATTTGTTGTCTTCGCTAAAGTGCTCATATGCTGTAATCTGTTCATTTCTGTCACCTTATCGGCAACACAGCTCTAAACGAGACTGCGCTCCTGGTGACAAATGAAAAGAGGCGTCGGAAATCTTACGCGCGCATAGTTTACAGGCGGGAATGCCACATCACGAGTTCCGGAAAAGCGTGTCACGGAAACTCGGCGCTATTCGCTCCTCAGCCTCCTCAAAGTAAAAAAGGCTTGACTCACTAGATGATCGTTGCCATACGTGATGATCACAGTCGATGACCTATCGACGGGTTTGACGCACTCGTTAGTGATCGTCGATGGTGATCCGATGAATGGAGCTCAAGCCATGGCGTTTCACACGCCGGTGCGATGGCGGTTACTCTGCCGTGCCGGTAGGTTGAGCACGTGGAAATCCCCTGAGTCTCCTCGGACAGATTTTGACAGCCGGTTGACAATTGCCGGGCAAATTCTGTCCGTCGGGGAGAAGTTGCTGCGCTCGGGTACGGGGAATTATTCTGCGAACGATTTAAAGATGGCTTCACCAGAACAGTGAGCACAAGCACGGGCACGGACATGGATAGCACATATTGAGCACATCTGATTACCTGCAATTTTATAGACACACTCTAGCTTTTTTCATTTGAAAAACAACAACAACGAACAACCGCGCAAACTTCAAGTTCGTTGGGAAGTCACAGAATAAATGCTCGAGACCGTTAATCTTCAGATTAAAGTGTCCTATCGTGAATCTAAGGACACGAAAAATAACTTAAACTCGTTTAATCGTGCGGCTGTCCCTTTCCTACCTTATCCATAAATTAAATGGACCCCTCATAGGTAAGATTTCAGCAAAAATGCTTGTGTCTTCCTGCTGCCTACACTAAGGAATTTAATCCAAACCTATTGATGAATTTACGCAAAGGTAAAACTGGCCATGCGACACCTAGTTTTCAGATTTGCAATTACAAAACTGATGTGTTCCAAAAAATATTACATAC